CTCTTAAAGCACGATGCATAATTGGTATAGCCTGCTCGAGGTTGAGGCCTGCCGGTAGCGTTTTCAATCGAAGGTTATAAATCAGCAGCTTATTTCAACGCCTCCAAGATATGAAGCAAGGTGAAGTTCATATTTTCTGATACCGTTCGAACACACATGGCAAATGAAATTCGTGAAAATTGGAAACCTCGTGCTGGTGGCCCTTTCGCTCCCTCCCCGCCGTGGCCTGTTGCTAGCGGATAACCATCCGCTCTACAGCTCACTTTCTCGGAACGAACCTCACTCTAGTCAACAGAATCTCGAAAATGACATCTACTTTCTTCGACCAGGAGTCCAGCGACAAAAGGGGTTGTGCTGGCAGTGAGTTGTAGATAAAGGTGGTTCATATTATGTTGAAGAGATGTTTCAGAGAGACAACAAAAAAAACTAAAAACAGCCGGGTGGCCTAGGATTTAAAGCTCGACCAGTGGATAAGCTGATCTGAATACACCTTGCTTCCTGTTATTAACATCTCTGAAAAGTGTTCGCGATGTCAGAAAGACCTAGACCCTAATCCTTTTCGATCCTTTGTTTATTTTCGAAGGGAGACTTACTACAAAGAATTCATACTTGACGTCCTTCTTAATTGGATCTGCCTAGGAAATCGGCTAATTTTGGTCTATTTGCATTATAAAATCACATCTCTATAGGTAAACCATGAACCAAGCCAGCCGTAGCTCATGATCGTTGTTGAAGTAAATATTACAAAGCTGGAAAATAAAGAGACAGTAGGCCAAGACTGTATAGACGGATAGAGGAGTGGGAGGGGATAGCGAGAGAGTGAGAAAAGAGAAAGAGAAGGTATTCTCATGAGTCAGTTGGATACCATTTTGGTGCTGCATGCGTTCGGATGTTGCCGTACTGAAACGCGCTACGCACCCTGCTTTGGACCTTACCTGCTATGGCAATGGCATTTTGACTGGAACAATTCTCGTGAGAACCTTCCGAACTTAGACATATTAACTAGAGATCACAGTGCATTCAGTTCTCCCCATCAAACTTGATTTCGGATCTCGTCAGTGTGACCACAGTTATTGTTCCTGAAACGAGCAAACAATTTTTTAGCGGTGATCTTTCGAGCAATAAAATTTATTCTCTGTGAATCGTTTTCATTTTTGGACATTTGAGCTGCATTTACGCCTCTATGACGTTAGAAAATGGGGACGTGTCAAATATGTTCGTTTTTTGGACTGGGACGCCATCTTTGAATGCTTGGTGTAAAGTATCTGAAAGTGATTGTACCGCTGTGTAACCGCCATTGGAACGAAATCAATGGTGGCTAATGATGCATAGCGTCGCATTATTTTAATTGTAAAAGTAAAATGGAAAACGAAAAATAAATGCGCGAACTAATGTACATATCTGACAGTCAAATGAGTCTTTGTTAGAAAGGGAAGATAAAATTAGCCATATCATCTTTTCAATTTTTTTTAATTTTAGCACTAGTAGGACAAAATGCGCCAGTTAACCTGTTGGGTACAGCAAATATTCCGAAAATCTTGCAGTTTTTTTTTAAGACGAGAAGTGAGAGATCGTTTTTCGATTGATCGTCAGGCGAAATGTTATGGTCACAACGGCATCCTCTCACGCGGGGGGGGGGGTCATTCTGGGCATGCCGCACTATTCGAAAACGGTTTCTTCATATGGTACGAACACATGTATGGGCCACAAACCCATGTTTCGTTTTCGCTGAACGATTTTAGTATTATCAGAAAAGTGGCGAACGATACCCCAAATGGCTCAATCCCCTGCGGCAGCTAAATTTTGTAATAAAGGTTGGCGGCCACTTGTTGGCATCAAAATGGTCCTGACGTTGAATATGGCATCTGGTTTTGACGTTAAGCGGTTTTGGCAAGAAACCGTAGGCGTCGGCCCAAATGCAAAATTCAGTCGCTACGAGGGATTGAACCATTGACAGTACCTTATGCTTCTTATTATACTGCTAAAGCCGATCACAGAAAATGACATGTGGCTTCGTGTTTTTTACATGCACCCCTAAAAAATGCAAAAAACTGTTCTGGCTTGCTTTTGAAGACCCCCCTTGTCAATGAACTCGAAAGCACTTGCTGGAGTCTCTAGTCTTACTTAGGGTTTGATCTTACTCGAATATCCTAATGAATTAAGCGAAATATCCCCACAAAACCGACTCTTTACTGTCTTGTATAGATGCTTCAGAAATAACCAAATTATTTATGAATAAAAGTGACTCATGTGGCTTAAACTGAAATAAAAGGATGCAAATAGGGTAATACCTAATGGTTTAGTGCCATAAAAGCAGCGGTTCAATTTTCCGTGATGGACGAGTTTCAAGGAAATGCACGTTTTATATGTGCATTCCATACAATAATGGCCATTGAAGAACGGCCTTGGGCCAGCTCACGGGTTAACAGGTCATTTCCTTACTGCAATACATTCTTTCAAATACTGATTTATGGACAAAACTTTCGCACCAGGCGGGATTTGAACCCGCGTCTCTTGCATGCAGGGCAACTATGCTACGAGTAACACTACTGAGGCACCATTCCCCCCTAAATTGGCCTTTCCCCTCAACTCGGCTTTGGATGGGACATTACCATAGCTTATAAGCATTCCCACATTTAGCGTGATGACGTGCTTAGCCAACGTGTTAGCAGTGAATAGTAGAGAGAGAATAAGCAAAATTCAATTTGATTAAATATTGTTGCTCTCAATGCTTTCTTTTCACTGTTGAACACAAAAGTGTACCTGGAATGATGAACGTACGTTCTTCAGATCTACGCTCTAGTGTTCCGAAGGGCATCTAATGTGGGATAAGTCACTGTGAGCTAGTAACTCATTGCTGCAATTCCGCTAAAAACCATTTCCGCCTGACGGGCTAATTGAGATCTAATCACAACTGCAACATCAATAATTGGCCTTGTATTCATGGGAGCTCGGACTGAGTCTCTTTGTAGTGAAAGTGACTGAAGAGAGGCCAAGAACTATCGCAGCAGAACAATTTGCAATCGACGACTAAACACTATTGCCTTGCACAAAAATATAGCGCCGATTTACTTGTGACTATTCTAGACACACTCTACTGCTGCAGTCTGTTGTTGGTAAGGAAATCTACTTCAGAGCGTATTTGATTTTCTCGGCACAGTCGCTTAGCATGAGATGTGCTGGTGTTCACTGAATGCGCACATAAGCGGAAACTAGATTTGACTCGGGTGTTTTTGTTCACAGAAGAGCTTGTACGCGGTTTTTTACGACCTCACGCCGACAGAAGAGTCATTGAGGCTTTCATTGAAGCTTGAAGTGTTGCACAACCTTAGAATAAACTTGATGTGTGCGAAACTTGACGCGTACTGAGTTTGAAGACATCAGAAGCAGAAAAATTATTAATTTGACAATTTCCTGTCGAACTGTTCAGGTTTTTTATGTGTTACGGCCTTTTGTTAGTTGAAATCAGTGAGAACATGAAATATCTAGTACTCCCTGTTCCCGAGTTGATTGACCTAATTTCTTTCTATTTCTTTTTTGCTATCAGATTATTTTTTTATTCCAAATATACTATGCTAAAGCATTGAATGTGTAAAGCTGAAACGTTTTTGCAAAGACCTTATACGAGAAGCTTGTTCGAAAGTCCTCTTTTTGTGTGCAATATTTTGATGCAAAGCACCGACTTGAATCGCAGCTGAGGTTCTTTTATTTGTATTAGTTAGTATTTGAGAAAGCAATCTTATTCGCACTGATCTGCGTCAATTAATATTACCAAGGTCTCCAAAACCACAAACCCTCTAGAATCGAGACTATTATGTAGTACTATTTTATTTTATTTAATTTTCGCATATAGCAAAGGCATGTTTGAGCGTCTCTGTATTGAACCTATTACAGATGAGCTAAGTAAGAAAGGGCATTATTACGTGGCATAATACTCGTATAATGCGAGCGCTGATGGAGAAAAAGGTTAGGGAACCTTAGTAGTTTCTGCTCCTGCTCCTATCAGGCCAATAAAATTCGTTGGGAATTTCGATAGCAGGACGTACCAGTCATACAGAGTGATATATATAGCTGGTTCACAGAACGATAACTAAAAATCAGGCGTGAGAAATGCGCCACCCACTGAAGCTTTCGCTTCTGGGTATACAATGCATAACTTCGCGTTTCTGCTGAAAAGGGCTGAGCCTCTTGAAAAGAGCATTCCACAGCGAAGTCTCAATCCCTCACCCCTTACTCAGGTGCAGAAAAACTGTGATATTATAAAACTGTGTTCTTTACAATTTAAACTGTTCCCGTCGCTGGTGACCTTCAGAAGTGAAACCCACATAGTGTTATAAGGACATGCCCTCCCGATGAGAGATATGTGGCTTTCATTCGAAGCATTGGGATGATGTGAGCTGATCCGCATTCCATTCGATGCCGACCGAAGTGTCGCTCTATTATCATTCTGGGCGTTCCTTATCTAATCGGATAGCTCCGGGGCGGGTCCATTTGGAACATGCGAGTGACCGTTTTATAATTGAATCATGGGAAGGCCGCGAAAATTCCACTTGATGGCGAGCACCCGCCGGCCGACCATGAGAGTGATGGTCAGCGACAGGCAGCCTGCTGGATTAGCACGTACAGATACGGAGTGGTTGACGGAGGTAAGCGTGGCGGTCAGAGTCGGAGGTGGTGATGGACCCCGTCGGGATTAGTACCATCTTCTCCGAAAATCCCCCGATGAGAGAGCACTCTCACCGCGGAGATGTTATCAGATGGTTGCACGTAGGTCATGTGGCGAAACTAGAGCCGCAGAGATGAGAGCGGCGAAATAGCGCGGTGATATGAAAGCGCGCAAAGATGGTCAGTTTGGGTGGGCGGACCTCCCCCGTGACGAACCACAGGGCTCTTTCAGCAGTCGCTCAGCAGCCTGTAGCTTCCTATTCTGAACAGCTGGATTGGCTATTCCCGCTATCGCAGATCTTCCAACCTTTGAGTGAGGCTGCGTCAGGGCTGCCATGAGGCGAATGCCTCCTCCAGCTTGGTATTCTCAAAGCACCTATTCGTTAAATATTATTCCTGAAGAGCATATCCCGCCTGCAGATTATGACGGTGGGTAGCCTACATAACAAGACATTTTATGACCTTTCATTCTTTACGATAAATTCACCTGTGATGTCAACTCTCGCCGACGAGCGCTGGGTCAGTTCGCATGGTGAACTCGGGATTGGCGTGGCTATCGCGGGGAAAAACACTTGCGCATGACATTGAAGAACACCCGTTACTTGCGGTCATTATTTTATGTCTAAGTTCAGCAACATCAGTAATGCTCTAGTCGGTCAGTCAAGACTATATAAGACCAGCATTACATCAAGAAAACTCCAGCTGTTTACTTGTTATCGTTTATGTTATACTACTGGTATAATAGGTTTAATGACCGTCCTTGAACCCTATACAAAGTCGACCAAGTTGTCAAATGTTAGCAGTATAGTTATAAGACCAGGTTTAGCTGGATACATGGCATGCTTTCCATCTCCCTCACAGGAGTCGTACTTTTAGGATTCGGGCAGAGCTAGGACATTCCCACTGCTGGTGACTCGATTGAGGCTGTAACGTTTTTTTCAAGGAATGTTTCTCTGTTCCTTTGAAGTGTTGTTGTTTTTCTGTTGTCACCTTTCATTTGGTTGTGCCCTAATGTGAAGAAATTAGCAGGCATAGCCTTCTCATGCGGAAAATTTTACTTTTATTCCTGGCGGGTTGTATCAATACGGATGCTTATTTTCCATTCGAGTTTTACCAACAGCTTAACCTTTTTTCACCTGGAAAATTCCATTTAAGCTATATGTGCCGAGAGAAGTCGAACTTGGCCATTTTCTCCCTTAATGACCATTACTTGCGTGTCGCCCTTGTCTGAATGTTCCATGACTATTCATGGAAGAGTAGAAGTGACGTATTGATATGCTGTTCATTTGTGAGTGTATTTGCTCTTGTCCTCGTTGGTGAGTGCCCTTTTGATGGCGGCAGTCCTCCCCCGTTTTCGCCTGCTTCTCTTCGGAAGGAAGCGTGCAAGCGTTGCGTTACGAGAAAGATAACATCGGTGCGGTAAGGAGCACGTCGCAGCCACTTCACCACGAGTGGTTTGAGTCCATTTAGCGACGTTGGTGGCCGTTTTGTTGACATGTCGAACACCGGCAGCGACGACCAACTTTTCGTGCGTCAACTTTTTCAACGTCTTCTGGCATCTGATCGTCGCCGACCATCTGCCTTCCGCCAACGCTTCGTCCTGCTCACATGTGTCACACTTCTTTGATTTCTTCAACAGAAAATGCCACTCGTACAGCCGTTCATGCATAACATACCAGCCAGTCAGCAGAATCGTCATTGTCAAATATCAATAGAAAAAAGGCAGGCAGAAAAATAAACCGCTGTCGTACAGCGCCAATGTTCTCACACTACTCGTCACGTTGACGTGGTTATTAGTGGTTTGAGATGAGGCGTGTGCGAGGTCATCCAACCCACTCGTCCTCGCATCACGATAACTCCGCCATTCTCTTTACCCGGAAATACCACACCATTTCCGTAAGCATTGCTCTCGAGGATTACGGGTAGATGAGCCTACCGAAAAAAAATGCCATCCAGGGTTGTCGTGACTCTGTACATCCCGTTTTTGTGGAAGCATTGAAACAAACGACGATTTGGTGATTTTGTTAGAAACTTTCTGCCGAAAGGGAGCGGCTATAGTTCAGCAGCCATTTCAGCAATCATTAATCTTGCGTTTTAAGCCAGCTGAAGAAATGGATCGAAACAAGATCCAGCTTTCAGTGTTGCAATCCTTCATCATCGGTGGCCACATTATGCGCTACGCATAGAGGGCTGTTTTTGGGCGAGCTCATGACGCACTATCTCCAGGGAGAGAACTTTAGACTTGTGGTGGAATACCACACGGGATCCTTAATTTTAAATTTAATGTTCTAAAAATTTATGTCTTATATAGGCCAGGTTTTCGGATACCTGAATACGCGCTCTTCTTCGAACTCTAGGACCTTGCCATATTTTTCCTCAACAGGAAACCTCTGGTCTACTTTAAGGACTATTTGAATGTGTCTCAAGGATTCACGAGGATCGCATTTTTGAGCACTAACTGCTTGCTGCCCCTCACTTGATATCCAAAAGTGTATGAAGTTACCGATAGCAAATCGGCAATCTGGCTCGTTTCTATCCTCCTTCAGGGTTTGTTGCAGAAGAATAAGTAACAGAGTCCCAAGCTTTGGTCAATTAACTGAATGGTCAAGTTCCACCTTTTTTGCCGTTCGACGTAGCCTAAGCTGCGCAGTGTTGTCAGCTAACAATCGGTGCGTATCGAACAACAAGAGGAAAATGCCTCCCTCGGCGCACACACAAAAGGATTTAGCGGCTCCGGCAAGACTCGTCCGTCACAGTCGCCGCGCCAGTCGGATTGTGCGGGCGTTGATACTCACCCTTCTCAATCCCGTCTCGCAGCATGAGTGACGTGAAAGCGCAAAAACTCATCATACTGGTTCACTCGTGAGAATTCCGGGAGATTTTTCTCAACTGCAAGCTAGAGTGCCAATCACGAACGCTCTCTGCTCTACTTGGTGCAAGGCTTTTGATGAAATATGGTTAAGACGGTGCAGTTATGATTTTTGCCAAGTCATAGTGGCCATAGTTAGGATCAGATGCTAAGGCGCTAGGAATGTTGGAATACTGCCAACGGATAATCTCTTTTTCGCGATTCTCCGGGATTACTGCTTCTTTGAGCCTAAGTTCTGATAGCTCCTTATCGAAACTTCCAATATTTACAACCTCACTCATTTATATGTTTACCTTAGCACTAGCTGTTCCAGCAAAACCTTAAACCTGAGAACCTTTGCGTTAATACAGATTTGAGACCAAGTGGTATAGTAGCAAGGGACGTTTATTCATCAACAGTCAGGCACAAGGCGCAGTTCATATTCCACCCTTCTCGAGCAATTCGTCCTCCGAGGTCGAGGGTAACAACCTTGTAAGGGAGAGGACTAAAACAGTGGATTGTTATTGAAGACTGCCTAGCTTTGATCGCTTCCAGATGCCCCTGCAATTCTGAACGGAAATGGAATCATAGCTACTCCAAATGGAACTAAGCAAAATTAAATGCCCATTTCTTGCAGATGGTACAACGCCAGCTATAACAAAACAAATGCGAACTAGCATCGTTGAAATTCTAATCGTAAGGAAGCAAAATTCAACACATTTGATGGATGTGCTTTGATCAGAAAAAAATCCTGGCGCAGATTATGTGACCACTTGATTAGTTTCTCAGCGGAGAACGTGCGACCACCAATATGCAAAAGGAATAATTTCCCTCAATTTTTTTACTCATCACTTAACTTTATCTTTTTTGTAAACAGCTGCCATTAGAGAAATGTACTTTCAGTTCTTTTTCTTACATAGCCTCATTACTCAAATGACAAAAGGGAAGTAAAAGAATAACCAGTCGTTAGTAATGCTCTTGGTATGGCTACAACTTCCGCAGAAACTACTTTTTCCTGTATCAAAAGTTGGGAATTCAATTTTGGAGACTCCTGGCGGTACTGCTCCCATCAAACTCACAGGAATTTTACGATGTTTACTTGAAATGCATGTAAACATTTACATGTAATGAAATTTGAATTTCCATTCCTTAAATATTGGGAAGGCATTGCGGTTCACGCAAAAGCTTTCACGAAACATTTTTTTCAACCGTGCACATTTCGCATGAAACGTGTCTCCAAGACGAGACCTCAGTGTACCATTTGCTAATAAAAATACTTGTTATACGGGGGGGGGGGGTAGAAAAAAGACATTTTGCCCGGGTCGCACTTCGGCTTTTTTTTCTTTGCAGAGATTGCCGTCATTGACGGAAGTTTCTCACCAAAATATTCCCTAAATGTTCCTCTATGAGTACACCATCACTCTCACCGTCTTTCAGAATATGACGTCATCTGTCACCGTCGTCGAGCTCAGGGAGGCCTACAGTAACTGCTTCATCCTGAGGCTCTTACATAATTTCTTGGATCGATTCAACGTGGGATAGTTTTCTAGGGACATTAGCTCTAAACAGGCGAACCCCCTCGAAACATGCCCTTTGGAACCCGTCGTAACGGTACACGATCAGTCAAGAACCCCACTGAGCTCGATCAGAGCACCATGTTTCCGGGGCAAATTTTCCTGATGCCGTCCACGTAGATGGCCACTATGAAGATTTTCTCATGCGCTCTTTAATTCTAAGTAGGGAACACACGCTTTAAGCTGAACAGCGTGTGATTGAATCCAATTTAGTCTGGAGGGAAAATGTCTCTTTTTTATTGCCCCCCCCCCTCACGTGTATTCTCATTCATTGCTGGTCAATCGCATTTCTGAAAGGCGACAGATCGATTAATTGGGTGCTTTATTAATTTCTTTCCTGGTTCAATGAAGAAGGAAGAGGAAATAATATCAGTTCTGTTGAGCCTCAAATACTACAAACGGGGACGACAGAGATCCATCTAATACCATTTAAAATAGAGAAAATTGGCAACAAGTCACCGAATTAGCTAAAGTTAAATACACCAATTTTAACTCATATTTAATCTCGAGACCTTGAAAGATCCTTGAAGGATTCGTTGGTCACGGTTTTTCATAATACACTACCAGCTGGAAAAAAGTCGACGAGGTTGTTGATTCAGTAGCTAATCCTCGAGAGGACGTTTGTTGACTGTTGAGACATCAGGAAGCGTACACGGCAAACATTGACAACTAGGGATTCCTGGCGAGCCTTTTTTAACAGGTACCTGACAAGAATCTATTTCCAGATGTCGTGCATAAAGAGGTCGGCGAATCGCTGGATCGGCGCGGTAAGCCATTGGCGGCCTCCGCTTACAACCTGAATTTGACGCCTCCTCTGGCCGCAGTGGACGGTTTAAGCAAGGAAAACTTGATTGATGTACCACTAACTCTGGACATGCGGAGGTCCTGTCACGACATTTCGACTCCAAGAACGTCTTCAGAAAAAACTGTACGTTCTTACTGCTGCTGGTGTACTCATATGGTATTGCTTTGACAACATTTGAATTGTTCTCAGCAAATTTAGGCATGTAATTTCTCAGTGAACCAGGGCCTCCAGTCGACTCCGGTTGTCCTGTAACACCTTTAGCTTGTCTTGGTTTATTTGATTTCTTTCAGTAGCGATTGAAACCTGTAGGACCCGAGACAATGAAGTTTGGTTTTTTCGAACACCGAATCAGTGGTGATAACGGGGGCGTAACCCTACCATAGGAGCACAATTCACAATCTATTACTTGTGGTCTTTATACTCGAAAATCAAGGTAGAGGTGCCAAGGAAGCGACATAAACGGCCAAATCTAGTGAAGAGGCCCCCTTTTTTCTTCTGAAGAGACAGAACAGGAGTAAAGACAAGGGGGCATAGAGGACGAGGGGCGACGGACTATACAATCGTCGGCTAATGAGGTCACGCCGCTCACGCGGCGAGAATCGTCGCGTGCGGCAGTTGCTGCGGCGATTTCTGTGTGGACCTTTTCTTATCCATCCATGCCCAAAAGTTGGCTAGGTGGCTGATAACACCAGAGTGCTGGACATCAGTAAGCTAGCAAGCGTCACTATAAGATCCCTGCAGTGATTTAAGCCTCGCAGTACAAACTTTGTACCGTGTAAAGGTTGTCCTTTTGAATTTAATTCGACTTCCTTATTAATCAGCTGCCTGAATGTTTATCAGGGAATGATAATCTGGTTCAACCAGAAAGAATATCACGTTCCAATACACAGAAGGACGGTGAGGAAGGCGTTGACATAAGCATTATAGGATAAGTTTGTTATAATAGCAAGTGGCGAAGAAACTGCATTTCAAGGGGTTAGGTGATTCCTATT